GCCTTAAGAGTTTAGAGAGCCGGTGTTCCACCCAATTAAAAGTAAAAGTTTGTCACTTCCCCCCCCCCCAAGAATCTCTAGTCACATGGTCCAATCAGCATGTAGTCCAGTTGCTAGACGACCTCAGTCTCCATATTTCGAATGCCTGCACCAATATCCTTGATTCCCAGGGGAAATATTTTATTTAAGCTACAACACCCCAGCTATCTTTACACACTGGCCCCTTTGCTTCAGGCTGAGTCAGCCTTGAAGCAGTGAGAAGAGAAACCTCGCTAAAGAAAAGCTACAAAGAGAATATGACCACAGTTAGGTCGACTTCAGGCTTGACAGTCTGTTTAACTTCATCGCCACATAAATCTCTAAATCTCCTAGCACAAAAGTAGTTACTACCCATTTCTATAATTATTGGAAGATAGGATAGGAAAACCAGAGGTATTGGTAGTGTATTTGTGAGAGCTAGAGCTAGATTATCCTTTGTAATTTAGGAGCAGTGTAAATAAAACTGTTTTGCATATTTAGGATGATTCTTTATCCTTTCTCTTGATCTATTCAGGAAGCCGATGACCTATACAATACAATGCTGAAACGCTTCCGTCAAGAAAAGTGTGTGTGGATAAAGTATACCACTTTTCTTCTGAAACGTGGTTCAGTGGAGGCAGCTCACAGACTTATGCCACGGGCTCTGAAATGCTTGCCAGACAAAGAGCGTAAGAGTTCCTTGGTTTCCTTTTTTCTTGAATAGGGATGTCTATATTTTCCTTATTGGATTTTCATTTAAATTGGAGTAGATTAATGTCTGTGTTACCTGTATTGTAACCATTCTTATCTTTGTCTCTTTCAGTCATTTTCTTCCATTCTCATTTCTTCACCTTCACTTCTAATATATTCTTTTTTCTTTCACGCCAATAGACAGAAACAATTCCAGCAACACAAGGAAGAGTACATATTTTACAAAATATTAGATCTTTCCATATTTCCAATATTAGACCTTGTTTGCTAATCTTATCTGAAAATTCTTTTAGCGAGGAGGTAGCTAACAGTATATTTCTAAATAATAGTTACACCTTCAAACTTTAGACAGAAGTCATAATAAATGCTGGAAATAATCCTTTAAATAATCCTTGCTTCCTCTTCTGTTGCAGATGTGGATGTGATTTCAAAACTGGCACAGTTAGAGTTTCAGTTTGGTGATGCAGAACACGGCAAGGCCATGTTTGAAAACATGCTGAGCACATATCCTAAACGTACAGACATCTGGTCAGTGTACATAGATGTAATGATAAAACATGGCAGCCAAAAAGAAGTCCGGTGAGTACTAGCATGTGTAAGAAAGTTAGGATTCTTAATTTCCAGCAAAGATGCAAGAATGCAAGCTTGGGAATATGTATTATCTTAAAACTGAAGCAAACAGAGTGACTTGATTTTGGCAAGGAAATGGTGTGACACTTAATGATGAGAAACCTAAAAAATTTGCTTTAGAAATATATTATTTATATCTCTTATGAATAGGAGAAAGCAAGCCAACAATTTCATTCATTTTAAATATCAGATTAAAACTGTTTTCTGAACATTATATTGTGTTTTTCACAGGGATATTTTTGAAAGAGTGATTCACCTAAATTTAACAGCAAAGAAGATGAAGTTTTTCTTTAAACGCTATCTGGAGTATGAGAAAACGTATGGCACGGTGGAAACCATCCAGGCTGTGAAGGCAGCTGCATTGGAGTATGTGAAATCCAAGAACAGCCTTGCGGAGAGCTAACCTTTGCAGCAGACAGACTTCGAGGTCTTGCTTTTAAGCCCAGGATGTTGAGAAGGAGACATGCCTCATCTGTAGCACAAAAGCCCTCCTGCTTTTTTGCATTTCCCAACAAGCTCAAAACAGATTGGAATAGCCAGGACCAGAGACTAACAGTGTCAGTGATGTATATGTTTTACACCTTTTATATCTGTCTCCCCACTCACCCCCAGTTCAAATAAAATAATTATATTTATAATCATATTTGTATTTGATTCTTTTTAAGATATACAATTAGTAATTGGGAGAAAGCAACCAGCTGCTTGGTTACAGTAGTAAGTTCTTCCCTCCCTAAAATATTTTGTATTTTATCCAAGCATAGGCAGAAGATAATAACACTACTGCTTTCTAAGTATTGTATGAAATATATTCAAGGCTTAAAAGCTAAATTAAAAGGCTGCTGTCTGCAGGAGCAAGGATCTGCAATTCTATTTGATTAGACTCATCATCATAGCTTGGTTACAGTAGCAAGTAAATAGTTGTTGTGGCCTGTTGGCCTCAGGCCCCTCCAGCAACCAAATCAGAAGAGGAGGAGGCATGGGAGTCAGGGTCAGCATCAAGGCAAAATGAAAGCTCCAAGGGAGAAGAGGGAATGGAGCTGCCAAAGACAGAGGTGAAGCCTGGGCCGTCCATCACCCCTCAGTCAACATCCCCCCGGTCCAGAAGTGGCTGATAACGAAGAGGTGGAACAGCTGGATTCAGTGCCTGACATGCGGATGCACAGAAGGCAAAGGAGAAGAGAGCAGTGGAAATCCGTGGGCCAATCCTTGGGAAGGAAGAACCACTGTTGCTAGCGAAGCCCCACCCTAGCTCTGAGGATAAAAGGCAGGGGGCGCAAATGAATAGATGTGCCAGAAAACTATTCATCTCCCTGCTGGACAGACTTGTTAGCCTGCGGTGAGAAAGAAACTTTTTCCCATGGCTGCTGGCACTCCTAATAAAGGAATGACTGAGTTAAGTTCAGAGGGTTTGTTGTGTTTGGGGAGCTGGGTCAAAACAATAGTTCTCTCCCCAAAATATTTTGTATTTTATCCAAGTACAGGCTTAGAAGATAATAACAGCACTGCTTTCTAAGCATCGTATAAAATAGATTCAAAGCTTAAAGACTAGACTAAAAGGCTGTTGTCTGCAAGAGTAATTCCATTTAATTAGCCTCATCATCATAGCTGAAGTATAAAATACTCAGTTTTTATTTTATACGCCCTATTTTGTTCTACATCTGCAATTCACAGAATTCTGAGCGTCTTAAAAATATGCTGAAAATATCAATGTTAAATATACAGTTTTTAAACAATTAGCAGTTTCCATACATTTTTCCATCTCTTAATTTACAACCCTGTATTCCTGATTCATTCTCCTGCAGAAGACTAGTCGTTGCCTAAAAATTGGCAGTGCCGTGGCCTTTGCATAGTAGGAGTGCAAATGTCATGCACTGTCAGGAAAATTTGTTCTTTTGCACTTAATTCCAGTAAGTGACAGTCATGCACCTTGGAGGAAAATGGCAGGGCATGTATATTTTTGCATATGATATTTGAATAGATTCTTATTCATTTATTTTATAACCTGCTTTTTCTTCAGGAATTGAAGGCTGTGTACATAGTATGGTGTTCTTCCATTTTTGCCTGCATCAGCAATTGTATAAAGTTGGTTGGGTTTACAGTTACTGGCTCAAAATTATGCACTGAGTTTGTATTCCTGAGGTGGGGTTTTCCCCAGTTCTAACCCAATATTTGACCGTTGTCTTACCATCCACTTCTGTAGTTTTTCATATTTTAGTCACTGATAATCCCACATACATCCCACAATATCTTAAAAGGCCAAAGTGAATGTTAATAACTATTATGATTTCTAGCATTTAGCAGTGTTAAGATTGAGACAACAAATCAACCTTTCAGTGTTTAAAATTTTACCTTCATTAACAAATTGATCAAATGTATACAAAAACGAAAGATCTTAAAGACTAAGAGAAATTAGAGCAGATTTTACAAATAAAATATTTTGCCAACTTGGTGTGGCTTTTGTCTAGCAGCCACACTTACAAATGAGACGCAAAGGAAAAAGGAGATTTTTTTCTCTTTCACCTGAAAAGGACATAATGTTTATTTGTAGACAAGTGTTTCAGACCGATTTGAAAGATACTGTTAGTCCTTGACTTACGACTATAATTGAGCCCAGAATTATGGCAGTAAGGTGATGGTGCCCAATTTTACAACCTTTTTGTGGCAGTTGTTAAGCAAATGCAGCTGTTAAGCAAACATGTCAGTCATTAAGCAAACCCATTCTAGCCCATGAGCATTTACTTTGCTGGAAACCAGAAATAAATACCAATTTCTGGCAAAAATAATAATAATGGTAGAACACAGTTGCATGGCTGCAAGACGCTACAAACAGTTGTAAATGTGGGCTGGTTGCTGGACATCCAGAATGAGGTCTATGACCGCAGGGAGAGCCCAGCCATCAAAATTTCAAACCCAAATAATAAGTAACTCTGAGGAGGTCTGTAGTAACTTTGAATAGTTGCTAAGCAATCAGTCATAAATCAAGGACCAAATGTATGTGTTTGTCAATTAGCGTATTTTCTGAATTTATACATTGATGAATAACTTCCTGTTCAATTGGACAGATAAATCATCTCTCCCCACCCCAATATTATGTAGTACCAGACTGTTAAACTGTAATCTTATATAAGATTATGTCCCACTGAGCTTCTTAGGCCTTATTTCCGATGAGACAGCACCGATTGATTTGTATCACATGTGACATAATTCATTTGAAAGCTATCAGCTATATATTTTCTGAGAGTTTAATCAAAGTATAAAATCAATTCTTGGATGCTTTCCAGCATAGCTGGCTTAAGTGCTCAAAATTATTTTCGTGAAGCTTGTAGGACAGCTATTGAGTAGATGCAGGTAGTCCTCGACTTATGGCCACAATCAAGCTCAACGTTTCTATTGCTATGTGAGGCAGTTGTTAAGTGAGTTTTGCACCATTTTACAATTTTTCTTGCCACAGTTGTTAAGTGAACAACATGGTTGTTAGGTGAATCTGGCTTCCTCATTGATTTTGCTTCTCAGAATGTCGCAAAAAAGTGATGATCACATGACCCTGGGACAGTGCAACCATCGTAAATACATGCCAGTTGCCAAGCATCTGAATTTTGATCAGGTGACCATGGAGAAGCTGCAACAGTCATAAATGTGAAAAATGGTCATAAGTCACTTTTTTCAGTGCCATTGTAAATTTGAATGGTCACTAAACAAATGGTTGTAAGTTGAGGACTACCTGCATTAGGTAGCTAGGAAGGCTGTTTCCTGGCTATCGGGATTAGAGCAGTTTCCTGTTACATTTTTGGCCCACTTATGGAGGCGGCTGTAGAGAGGGTAGCCATTCTTCTCCCGATAGATATAAACTCCAGTAATGGCCTCCCATTGTGACCTGGGCTGAACATTTTTCACATTATATGCTTGGACCAGTTCCTGGTCCTCTTTATCTAAATGTACAAAGCCAAAGAAATTTTGGACGTTGTTGGCAGCCACAATCTTGGAATGTACCTCAGCAGTCTGTTGGAACAGCCTAGCTTCACTAGAGCGGTATTGGTTCCAGTAGGCCTCTTGGCGGTAGCTAAGTGGTGAGCAGCAATGTTTTAGGCACTTGGTGAAGAATACAATAACTGCAACTACCCCAATGAGCATCCATCCAAAGAGCTGAAGGAGAAAGAAGATAGAGCACGGCTTGGATTAGTTTGATTTTTAACAGGTTCAATTTTTAAAAAGCCTATCTTTATTTTATTTCTTTGAAGTCAAAATTGGACTTTAAAGTATAATTGAAACTCTATTCAAATTCAGTTACATTTGTAAGTGGATAATGGTGAAAGCCATAAGTATAGTAGAATTTCATTTTTTTCACACTGACACTGGTTAATAATTGCAAGGTTTGCGTTTAACTGGTAGTTGAGGATTTTTATGGATTAAATATCTGAAAATAATCAATTTTGTTGGAGTGGACTTCCATGCAACCAATGGATTCCACTGTTTCCTGAGCACTCTTGTACTTGCTCTAAAGGTTACTAAGTTTTAGGAGATATTCTTACAAACTGCATTAAAAACATTTGATAAAATAAAAATGTTCTTGCAATGAAGAATAAGATCTACCAAACTATCCTGTTTAAGCAGGCTTTTGCATCTTCCACTGCTATGGAAGATTTTTACCGTTATTCTTTGGTTTTTACTGTACAATGGGCCAACATTCATTTTGCATTTTTTTTAATTCAAGTTTTTATTTTATAGCATATAAAAACTCCAATTTCAATTGAATATTGTGTTGTCTGGGTACAAATAGTTTTAGAAAATAATTAATAAAAAATGTTTACAACTATATTCATTACATTGATATTAATGATAGTGTTAGTCATAATAACAACAATATTATTACTTCTTGAATTTTGATGACTTGTTTGTAGCGTGCCATGTTCTTAATCTGAATTAGTGAGCATTGGAGTTCATGTTTGGATTTTGCTTTATGATATTTTTATAATACAGTCATATCTTGGCGCGTAACTGCTTTAAAACTTGTCAAATTTGGTATTTGACGCATTTTGAAGCAGAAATCTTATCCCACTGTTCATCTTTCACCCTATAGTCAACATGCAAAGAAGAATTGACTGATGCCGGCTGCCTCATGACTTCTTATTTCTTCTGGCTGAAATAGTGGGTTATGGGTTAAGTCACATGGTTTTCTCCATACTTGTTGGTTTTATTCGGCATGTCTTCCAGAATGAATTACTGATAATGACCAAGGTACCACTGTATATGTATAATATACATACATTATATATATAATATACATACATATATAATATATATAATTTTATATATGCTTGTGTGTGTGTTTGTGTGTGAATAAATTAATATTTTATATGAATAAATAAATTACCTGTGACTCATATCTTAATCGTCTTATAACTTCATCTTTAAAATGTGTCATGTTGGCTGGCTGATCTTCACAAGGAAATCTGGCCAGAATATCTGGTCCATAGCCAGGTGGAAAATGATCCAGGTAAGTGGGATCCATGAATTCACTTAAGGCACAGATATAGGCTTCTCCACGAAGCAGTGAGATCACTGACCATGTGACAGGAGCCACTGCAGCTCTTCCCATGACAGATCCAAAGATCAAGAAATTAGCCGCTGCAGAAAAGTTCTTGGTTCCTCTCTTGTGACACTCAGCCACTAAGTTCCAAGTGTGGTTGTTCCAGATTACACCAATCACGAACAAGGCCAGTGCAGGTACTCCTATGGCAGCCAAACCGTAGATGTAATTCCGAGTTGGGGAACATGGACAGTGGAATGCAACCACCGAGAACAGTTCCTGGCTTCCAACTGTACCCAGAGCCACCAAGCCATTGAAAATCATCACATCTTTACTTTTAAAGAAGAGTGAAAGAAAGCGGAAATTTTCAGTAATAAGAGCAGCCATTTTATTTGGGTTCAATCGGAGCTTTTAGTATTTTGATGCAGAAGAGATGTCTATAGACATTCTTGGTCTTCTTACCTCTTCATCTACTGTAAAAACAGAACCATCACTAACAATTGTGCATTTAAAAGTGTACACTTGTCAAAGATCACTAGGCATCCACATATATTTCAACTATATTTATTTTAAAGTAACAGCCTATGAACCTGGTATTATAAAATAATGCATCCAGTTTACAATTCCTGCAAGTAATCTTTCAGCACAGTTCTTCTCACATATCAATTATCATAAAAACAGCTAAAATTTTCGGAAAGAAATTTGTAAATATTAATTATATAAGAATTTATGCAACTTCAATATACAATATTCACTCTATTTCAAATGGTTATGTTTTATTACATAGAGCCCCACTAAAAGTATTTATTCCCCATTCACATACTGAGAATGTATTAATAACAACAACAGCAATATTTGTAATACCACCAAACATCCAGATTTGCCTAACCCAGGTCCTTGGTAAAGATTCGATAGGTAGACAAAAATGCCAAACCGAGCCTGAACATCCGGCTGACTATGCGAATAACAACAACAACAACAACAACAACAACAACAACAACAATAATAATAATAAATGCTACTTTTGTCAGGTGTCCAAGTGATGAAATCCTCCCCCCATTATCAGCACAGAGAAAGAAAGAAAAAGAATAAATGATTAGAATATCAGGCTAAATAAAAGAGCTACACATGTCAATTTCGGGCTCGACAGCTTTCATCTATTCTTCCATTCCCTCCTATTGTCTCTCAGCTGGCTGGTTGTTCACCTTCATTTTCCATCTTATAAAAGAACAATCAGGTGTGCCTTACCTTTTCCATGAATTTGCTGCTATTTATATAGTGATCCTGGAATTGTCTGAAGTTTTCGATGAAGAAATATTATTTTTGTGGGTTGAAGAAACAGTGCTTTTAATCTTGGATTCTGACTATTCTGTTCTGGACTCTCATTTTTTCATGACCTTACAACTATGATATCAGCATTAAGTCATTAACATGAATTTGCTGTATTTATGTGAATAATCTGGGCTGAGTTTATAACATTTGATGAATTACAGGAAATAAATAGTTACTGTCTGACTAACTTGAATCAAGGGGAGTAACAAGGACAACCTGAATTTATCACCTTTGGTGACATGGCTCAGTAGCTGATGTCTACAGTCACTTTGTAATGTGTATAAGGTATCACTGAATGTCCTATACTGACAGCATGACTAATGAGGTATTTTTATGACACAAAAAAAAGTCAAGGGAAGGAATCATAGCTAGTGACTTCTATGTATAACACAAAATTTATTCCTTGCATTTCAGATCCTAAAATTACAAACTGGTGAAAAATTAACTGCTTGGAATGGGCTGTTTGATTATATCTTAGCTCAGGAAAAATACATTCCTTGCTTGCTTCCTTCCTTGTGATGGAACTTTTGCGGGTAAGAGTTGAGTTATTATTGAGTTATTCTCCAGAGCACCTGAGGGTAGGACAAGAAGCAATGGATGGAAACTAATCAAGGAGAGAAGCAACCTAGAACTAAGAAGATATTTCCTGACATTTACAACAGTTAATAAGTGGAACAACTTGCCCCCAGAAGTTGTAAATGCTTCAACACTGGAAGTTTTAAAGAAGAGATTGGATAACCATTTGTCTGAAATGCTATAGGGTTTCCTGCCTAAGCAGGGGGATGGACTAGAAGACCTCCAAGGTCCCTTCCAACTTTGTTATTCCATTCTATTAATTTTTGAACTAAGTGAAATTGATAATATTTTCATTACTTTCCCCCTATTCTAAGTGAGAAGAATGGTAACATCACCGTGCTGTTTCTTTTTTTAGTCGGGTTAGGGATTGGAAGGTGTCAAGTACAAGGATGAGTCAAGGGAAGGGAGTTCATGCCAAAAAATATTATCAATAGAAATCACAAGCCCTCAAAAATGGACCCAATAGGAAAGAAAGAAAGAAAGAAAGAAAGAAAGAAAGAAAGAAAGAAAGAAAGAAAGAAAGAAAGAAAGAAAGAAAGAAAGGTGTTTTCTTTCACTCAGCAGAAGGAAAGTGTAAGAAGTAGGGTAGCCATCAACGGAAGCCACAGTAAGTGCGGTATGGGCAGAAAACCAGGCCATCCCCAATGCTAATTTGAAGAAAAAACCCAGAATTCCAGAAGGGGGTTTCCTGAGCTGACTTCATTTAAATTGAGCAGCTTAAGACTGCCTGAAGAAAAGCCCTGGGTTATTAAAGGTGTGTGTGTGTAAGTCCTCCAAACTGGTAGGGCAACTAGAGGTATGATGAATTTAGATTGGTCGAAGGGCCCAATACATTCTTTGTCACCAGTGATCAGTAACTGCTCCCTCACGTTGGATGTCTTTCCATATACATCTTTCTCTTCCCAACATCTGTCTTTTTTCCTAAAAAATAAGGTCAAGCAGGTACATGTATGAAAAAGGCAGACTCCCTCAGAGGAAGGAATGGAGATTTTTGGGGGAGCTCTGAAAAATGTTGGGGAACAGTGACTCAGATGTTTGTTGGAGAGATAGCTTTAGTTGTTTCTTTAAAAAGATTTTTAAAATTAAGTATCATTATAAAATAAAATAAGAAAAAAAAAACAAAAGTAAGAAAACTAAGAGAAAGGAAGGGAAAATGGAAAGAAAGGGAAAAAAGTGTTGACTTCAGTATGGTAAACTATAAAAAGAGAAGTGGTTTAAGTTGTATGATCAGCCTGTCCTTTTGAAAATGATATGCTGCAAAATGACAAGTAGTTTCCAAAGGAAATCATCCTAGAGAACAGGGATGCCTGTATAAATATTAAAAAATACAAGCCATTCTACCATTAATATATTCTTCAGTATGAGAATTATTTTTGCTCTGGCTGTGATTACTGCTTCTTGAATGTAATCCTCCAATTCAAACTGGATTTTAAATACTTTACCAATACATTTAATAGAACAGCTTCAATTGTATGGTTTAACTTTTATCTTTTATGCTGGATTTGTAAAAATGTTCCATGTATCTTTTCTGCTCCCTATTTTTTAGCTATAAAAAAGATTCTCCTGATTTGTTTTACTGTTACTTTATACAAAAGCACTGCAAGATACTGAATTGCAAGTACTTATGTTCATTCAGCTTATATATCTTCAGCAAAATATTCCTAATGCTTTATTTGCTTGATCTTAATGTAAGACAGGATATAAGACTGGCTGGAGTTTCCACCCTTTTCTTCTCTATTGGCAAGCTTTCTGTTTTTTCAAGAAAGCCATTTTTTTTGGCTTTTTTTTAGCATGTTATTTTTAACTGTTCAAGAGCAAGTTCCTGCCTTTTTTAGCTGGGGTCTTTTACATTGTTCTCTTTTGAAACAACTATAATATAGTACATTTGAAGGAATTTAGCCCATCAAATAGTATCTCAGCTTTCTTTCAACTCATCCTCTCTTCTGGAAGCAGCAAGGAAATTAATTTTAAAACACCAATTTCCTATTTTAGATGTATTGTATTGGAAAGAATTATGTTCACTGTCTCCAAGAGCCTAACTAAAATTGTGACTTGTATCGGCTCAGGAGTGCCTGCTTAGCATTAGCTGAAATTGCCAGAAGAAAAGTTTGATACGTACTTGTTTCTTTGGACCCTGGGAAGCCTTCCACACACCACTGCGTATCCATGATCAGCAAGCTTTGTTTAAGCCATCCTGGAGTAATGCTTACATTCAAAACATACACTATTTACTAGGCTTGCTTCTCCATTTAAATATTTAAGTGAATCATGTTATGTAAACGATTAAACGTATGTAAATATGTATATTACAGACACTTCAAAGTGCACTCTTGCCAAAGAGAAGGAACAATTAAATAACATATAAATTGTAAACCAAAGATAAAACAAGAAAACTTATTACCTATCTACAGAAGGAAAAGCTCTTGCTGTTTTATTTTCATTACAAATGTAATGGAGCAGAATCAAACTAGCTTCAAAATAAACTTTCAATCTATCAGATGTGAATGTTGGCAGGATTAAGCTAGGACAGATTATTTAGTATGAATGAAAAGGATATGTACGGTGTATTGAGGCATTATGGTGAAGCAATATACAGAAGCTTCCATTAGCAAAGAATTATCTTCTTTAGCTATGCAACTTATGGTGATAAAGCCTTTGGTTTCCCAACTCATTTTATTATTAGCACCTGGAGCATCTTTTCCACATGCATTAGGACTCCAATGTGTTAACTCTGCAAGAGTACATGCTGACTAGGAATTCTGGAGATTGAAGTCCTAGACCTAGGAGGTCTGGAGGGGTTTGGGAAGGACAGTCTGGAGGATTCTTGTTCATAGTTGTAGAATCAGCCTGAACTGTCTACATTTTCTTTTTCTGAGCAGCAACCCTGATGGAGCAGATAATATTAAATAATCAGGCTTCTTTCAAATGTGGGTACCTCATAATATTGTTCCATTGAATTTATTATCCTTGGTTGAAATTGTTCTCCTACCAGTGTTGCTAGATAATATCTTCAGTTATTATCTAACCATTAAGGGCTGTAATCTATTTACCAGTTTATGTACCTGCAATCTTGTACTTGAAATTCATTGTAAACAGTCATAATAATTTATAGAGACAAACTCCTTTCTACACATTAATATATATGCTTGAGTCACGTTCTCTTGAGGCTCAAGGGCTGAAGCCAGATCAGTTCTCTTTTAGGCAATACTTTCAACTTTTGTTGCCTTAAATTTCTAATAAATGTGGAGGGGAGTGAAAAGAGTAGATCCATTATCCGTATCTCTACCCACATCCACATTTGTTCCTTGTTCATTGCAGTGGAACCACTACAATAATTAGTAACGTCAGTTAGGACACAAATGCCAAGAAAAGCACATGCCAGGCATCTCACATATCATCCCAGTGCAATAGAGCCCCACCCTTAGACTAATGCCTAAAAGTTAGAAACCAGCTAAAATTAAAACCAAAACAAAACCAAACAAAAATTCTACCCTGTCCATGATTCTAAGTTGCAGATTTGAAAATAGTTCATTTTCATAATTTTAAAGCTGAACAACATCACCACTGTAATATACTAAGTAAATGGATTTAATACTTTATTACTACTAAAAAAATAAAAGCTTTGTTAACTCTTGGTGGTTTGAAAAAAAGAGAATCTGATCTATTTCTGGCATCCGATAGCTCCCCAAACTAATTTCTGCCTAAAATAAAGCTAACACCATATTAGGGTGAAATACGTTCTCTTCAAAAATACATTCTTTGGTTTGTATTATAAACTGGTACACTTATTTCTCTGTTGCTTCTTATGTTTTTACTGTAATTGTAAAAGGTCTTGCTTTTTCTAAAACTGAAATGAAACCTGATGAAAAATAATCTTTTATCACTTACTTCAGGACCTGGCTAAAGCAATGTCCGGGGCTTCTCTAGTGACCATGTAGATTCTGAATTTATTCCAGGTTTATCCGACTGTCTGCCACTTGAGCTAGGCATTGGGATCAGAGGCAAAAATTGCTGTTGTCTGAAGACGGGTTAAAAAGAGCGAGTGTGTTGATTTCTAGCAGTTTCCTTTTGGTCGGGAAAGGCCTTTTTTTTCATTTGAGAGGGGAGGAGAAAGATTTCAGTCAGGGTGGAGATTATACATGCAGAGAAAGAGTGGAAAAAAGAGGCTTGCTTCGTTCGGTTGCTTTTTGAGGAGAAAAGTAGGAAAATTATTGGAAAAAATGAAACATTCCACCACTATAGGATGATTCATAAGCAGAAGAAGGAATTTCATCGTTCAGCTGCCACAGGCTACTCAGTTAACAAATTGAATATTCTCTGGTTTTCTAAATAATGTTTGATCAAGAATGGATTTTGAAGTGCCTCCCTCCTCTCTCTCTCTCTCTCTCTCTCTTTGTGTGTGTGTAGACAACATTGTTTAGCTACTCCCTTAGGAACCAATTATGTTCTCAATCAGTTAGTTGTGACATTTGGTCACTGGGAATCTACTACATCATGCCACTTTTTGAGGCACAACTCTCTCTGGCAAGCTAATTAAAAACAAAATGCAGCCATCAGACTGAAGAAGTTGTTAACATTTGTTCTACAAAACCTATAGCAGATTGTTATAGGAGAAACTGCATACAAATAAAGAGACTGTTAGATGCTGTTCCTGTTGATAGCTGATTATATTAGACTCATCTCTGACAATGCCAATTCTCCTCTGGTCTTCACAGTTTGTCTTTATTTCATCCCTACTCAATAAGTGAGTTAGTCATAGATCATCATTATATTACAACACAGAATATTTTCCCCTGAAGCCAATATTATTAAGATGTGCAAAATCTGCAAAGCTTTATTTTGCAGGTGAGGTTGTGGGGGATATGCCCTGGTGGGACCAGAGATACATTTCGAGAGTCTTGGAAGATACCATCTCCTCTCTGCTCACTAAGCATTGTCCATCACACACACACACACACACACACACACACACACACACACACATCCTTCCCATCTCCAATTTTATCAAGAAATGCTATTAAACTCAAAGGGAATTCTTTTTTGGTGTGGACAATTTTCTTCCAACCAGTTGAAATGCCAGTGTGATGTCAAAACTCATTTTTGGCTAATTTAGATAAGAACCTTGCATAAAAGGTTAGCAGATGGTTAATTACTTCATTTATCAATATTGTTATTGTTAAGCAAAGAAAGAGGCACTTCTGCAGTTGACCATTTTGGGTATAATGCAGTTAAATGTCAGATGGTTGTATGCAAGATGCTATTTCAAGCAGCAAAATGTTCTGAACTGACTCTGTTTTAACCATTTCCCCACATGTAATCATGAATATCAATTTTCCATTTGTAATAATAAAAGTAGATAGAGACTTGTCCAATAATTGCATTTAACTTCTATTTATCATCACCACAGCTTTGCCATTACAGGGTTTTTAAAATTTATACAGGAAGAGATTCCTGGTTTCAGCATGATTGCAGACAGCTGAAGTAAGAGATAACCGTTTAAAAATAAAGTCCCAGAGGTTTGTATTATGCTAGCTGTCACCACAAAAAGAAAAAGAGAAAGCAAGAGATAACAACCCTTAGACAGTGGCTGCCATGGTTATGTGGCTATAACATCGCAGGTAGCTAACATCTGCTATGATATTTGTGTCAGCAATTAATAAAGAGTCAGGAGAATGTTTAATATCAAGTTACTTTTATTGACAATGCTCCTCTAATTTTTTTTTATCAAGAAATGCTATTTAATTCAAAGGATTTTTGTTGTTGTTGTTAGAAAGTTGCTAAGAGAGAGTTAGCAGAAATTGCGGTAGTATACATTGGGAACAGACTACAGAGAGAAAAAGAAGGAAAGAAAAAAGATGAAAAACAGTATTTTGTATGTGAACTAATTTTGCGGCCCATACATGACATCCCTAATATATAGTTGATAGAGGTTCCTGGAAGTATAAGTTAGGCTTGTGATTAATGCTTTACTTTCCTTATTTTACTGTGCTTATTACCTTTATTTTGTTGAAATAAAACAATTTTAAAATGCATTTGTATGATGAAGATATAGTTTCCCATCCCCTTTTTTAGAATTTAAAACTATTTTAGAAAGTGAGGCAGGAAACTGTGCCAGCCGGTGTCGGAGTTCACATGCTAACCCATAAAACAATATGTGAATAGATAAAATAGATATTCTCTCTCTCTATCTCCCCCTTCCTCCCTCCCTCCCTGCCCCCCTCTCTCCCTCCCCCCCTCCTTCCCCCTCCATATACATATACATATACATATATGTATAGTTAGTTATATTTAGTTATAAACTATATATAGTTTTCGCTGTAATCTTCTGGCTGTACCTTTTTTCTTAAGCACGAGGAACCAAATTTTCTATATAATGAAATGTACATTTTAAAAAATGCAATTATACCTGTCATCCATAAAGAAAACATTGATTATTTGGATGATGATGAAGAAGGTGATGATGTTATCCATTCAGATATGTCCGAGTCTTGGCAATTCTATGGGCCAGCTTAGAAATTAATCATCACCTTCATTATGATTGCCATAAACCCACGAAGCCGAAAGCACCAGCCTGAGGATGGCGAGTGGGACCTCGCCGAAACGTCACCAAGATACTCTTAATCTTACATGGGAAAAGATCTGAACACACCTAGACCTACATACCTGTACCCGTGAAAATCTATGAATATATATATATATATATATATATATATATATATATATATATAT